TATACCACTACTCAACGTGAGTCGCTCGACTCAAGTTATTCCGCAAGACATGTCTTTGGCCACCCTATCTCCACTTGACAGCTGCAACGTTACTGGTTTGGACACCGATACTACATCCCCCTGTCTTGGCTGCAATTACACTCTGCCTGCAGATGACATTAACAAGATGATTGCTCCTGACCTCACTGCAGTGCAAGCTGCCAGCCTCCGTAGTCTGCTAACATCATATAGAGACGTTTTCGACTTTGACCACCACCCTCTCAGCCAAACAACTGCAGTGACTCACCGGATCAACACTGGTGATGCCAGTCCTATACGATGGCATCCATATCGCGTATCTCACAAGGAACGCCAAATAATTCAGAATGAAGTGGACAAAATGATTACTAAAGACGTAATAGAACCCTCATCAAGGCCCTGGGCCTCCCCAGTCGTGCTCGTTGAGAAGAAGGATGGCAGCTGGCGCTTTTGCGTGGACTATCGCCATTTAAACAAAGTGACCCACAAAGATGTCTACCCTTTGCCTCGGATTGATGACGCCCTCGATTGCCTTCATGGTGCCCAATACTTTTCGTCTATCGACCTTCGGTCCGGCTATTGGCAAATTTCCGTCGATCCCATGGATCGTAAAAAAACTGCTTTCGTTACGCCCGACGGCCTCTACCAGTTCAAAGTCATGCCGTTTGGACTGTGTAATGTGCCGGCAACTTTCGAGCGCATGATGGACTCCCTTCTCCGAGGATATAAGTGGTCCATATGCTTATGTTACCTGGACGATGTCATCGTCTTTTCACCTACCTTTGACAGCCATATAACACGTCTGTCAGCCGTTCTGGATGTTTTTCGAAGAGCTGCTCTCCAGCTCAATTCTGCAAAATGCCATTTCGGACGTCGCCAAATCACCATACTCGGCCACCTTGTCAGTGCCGATGGTGTTCAACCAGATCCCGAAAAGGTGCGAGCAGTACAACAATTTACTGAACCACGCTCAACCAAAGACGTACGAAGTTTTGTAGGGCTATGTTTCTATTTTCGTCGATTTGTCCGCAACTTCGCCGACATCGCTCGACCGCTTACTGATCTCTTAAAGAAGGACGTTTCTTCGCATGGGGTATAGAGCAAGCGGACGCCTTTTCGGCTCTTATCCATCTGCTGACTACGCCACCAATACTGGCTTATTTCGACCCCGCATCACCTACAGAGCTTCGGACCGATGCCAGTGGCCATGGAATTGGAGCGGTCATTGGCCAACAACAGCACGGGAAGGACCGCGTGATTGCTCACGCCAGTCGTCTTCTTTCACCTGCCGAACGGAAGTTCTCCATCACTGAGCGTGAATGCCTAGCTTTAGTGTGGGCCGTGGCGAAATTCAGACCTTACCTGTATGGCCGAACTTTTTCCGTTGTTACGGACCATCACGCTCTTTGCTGGCTGTCATCGCTAAAGGACCCATCTGGACGTCTTGGTCGCTGGGCGCTCCGTCTGCAAGAATACTCATTCGTGGTCCACTACAAGTCGGGACGCCTGCACACAGATGCAGACTGTTTGTCACGTTATCCGGTTGAAACGCCCGACTTGACAGACCTTGATTCAGACCCCTGCGTTCTCTCCATCCACGCTTTGGGTGATATCTCCACCGAACAACGACGTGACCCGTCGTTACTCTCCATCATCAAGCGTCTGACCTCTGCTCCAGCAGACCCTTCCGTTCGCCTGTTCGAATTGCACGACAACATTCTGTACCGTCGCAGCTTCAACGCTGATGGCCCGGAATTACTACTCGTGCTTCCCCATCACCTGCGTACCAGTGTTCTCGAACAACTACATGACGTACCTACAGCCGGTCACCTAGGCGTCTCTCGTATCTACGATCGTGTGCGACGCGTCGCTTTTTCTGGCCCGGACTGTATCGTTCTGTGGTTCGCTACGTCACTGCTTGCGACCGCTGCCAACGCCGCAAGCGCCCCTCTGTGCTACCGTCTGGCCTCCTACAGCCCATTGACATACCGACGGAACCATTCTTCCGTGTTGGCCTTGACCTGTTGGGCCCGTTTCCTACGTCCACCTCCGGAAATAAATGGGTTGCAGTCGCCACAGACTACGCCACACGCTTTGCCATCACTAAAGCACTGCCGACAAGCTGTTCCACTGACGTCGCTGACTTTCTCTTGTATAAAGGCATTCTTCATCACGGCGCTCCGCGGCAGCTGCTTACTGATCGAGGAAGGTACTTTCTTTCACGTGTTGTGGATGACATTCTCCGCGCCTGCTCCACTGAGCACAAGCTTACCACCGCTTATCATCCACAGACAAATGGATTGACCAAGCGTCTGAACCGAACGCTGATGCAGATGCTGTCAATGTACGTTTCGCCAGATCACCGTGACTGGGACAAAGCACTCCCCTTTGTCACGTTCGCGTACAATTCTTCACGGCACGACACAGCTAGTTATTCGCCGTTTTATTTGCTATTTGGCCAACATCCAGCATTACCATTTGACACGCTCCTTCCTTCGGCTGTCCCCTTGTCTACTGAGTACGCCAGCCATGTCGTTTCTCGAGCCCATGCAGCCTGTCAGCTTGCCCGTGATCGGCTGCACTTGTCGCAAGCGCACCAAAAAGACCGCTATGACAATTGCCACCAAAGCGTGCACATCTCGCCGGGGTCTCTGGTACTTCTCTGGACACCAAACCGCCAAGTCGGCTTATCAGAGAAGCTACTATCACACTACCATGGCCCCTACAAAGTGCTACGACAACTTAGTGACGTGAGCTACGAGATCGCACCCCTGAACAATGTCTCTTCGACCACCTCACTCCAGACAGACGTTGTACTCGTTTCCAGACTCAAACCGTATCACCCTCCTCGTTCTTCGCCGCCGTACTAAGCGCCGTGACGGCGCTTTCGCCGCAGGGGAGTGATGTTACGGTGCATCATCGACAGGAGCAAGCGTGGCACTTTGCGAAGATGAAGAAGACGCCTGTGCGTTAAGCGCTTGCGCGAGAGGCAACTCAGCTATCTTTTTCGGCTGCCGATTCTCGGTGGACGCTATCCTGTAAGCCAAGACCTCGCCCCGTCACAATATGCACAAGAGTGTGGTATATGTGTGGGACTAGCACATTGGCTTACCAACGGCAATCCATCCAGCCGAACTTTTGACCATAACATGGACATGTTTCCAGTAAGTCTGTCAGGTTGCTGTTGCCAAGTTTTGTCACTTGCAGGCTTCAGACTTTGAGGGGATCGCATCATATCCAGCCAGTATTTCGGCTATCAACCAAAACTCTGCATCTGGTCTCATCTGATAATAATTGTTGGATATAACATCCCAATTTGTGATGCTCTTATGATGCTTAGTAAAAACCTACGAAAAACCACTATATTAATGAGACACGCTGCAGTGGAGGGCTCTGAAAATTTTGACTTCCTGGAGTTCTTTAACATGCACCTAAATCTAAGTACTCCGACCTTACGCGTTTCCATCTCCATTGAAAATGCTGCCACGATAGCAGAGATTCAATCCCTTGATTTCGGGTTTGTAGTTGAGCACCATGAACACTATACCACCTTTGCAGGTGTGGTTTTATTTTAGTTACTGATAAGGATTACTGGTGTGAGCATATTTAGGGTGAGCACCTCGCAATGGTTCGTTACTAGCTATGCGGCCAGTTGGATGGCTTAGACGTCTTGGCCTAAACAGTACCGTTTTCTCAGGCATCAGCAGCCAGAGCTCTGGTTTAGTGTCGGTCACCACAACAGCAACTTTGTTAATGGCCATCATCGAAGTACATTAACGTTGAAGTATCCAGTGGTTATCACTAGCACATCCTGTAGGTACACAGCACGGAAGTTGCGCAGCAAGAAGTTCATCACGTCAGTCCGCAAGGTTGCTGGTCAGATGTACACTGTTTCGACGACAAAACCGGGCTATGTTATAACGGTGCAAGCATCACCAAAACTCATCTGAGGCAGCGAGTTGAATTTGTTCGTCTAAATGAAAGTGGGGGTGCACATTTTTATGGGATATGAATTCACAGGCACGACTGGACCAGCTACATGAATAGTCCTGCTGGACTTTATGTAAGCAATTTTTCCGGTTGCGTGAGAGTGAAAGTGGAGCCAGAGAGGTTTTGGAATGCCCCTTTCATCCAACTGAACCCACCCCTCCGTTGATCAAGCCGTCGGACACGTCAATGTTTAGGGAAAGAATGTATGGCTTGTCCAAATAAAGTACATGCTTTGTTCAAGAATGTTTCTTTTTAAGTCCATTGACAGTAAGCCAGTGGTAAATGGTGTATATACATAGTCACCATTAGTGATATGGACAGTATTAGTGGCGTGGCTTAGTTGGTTAATGCAGTGCGCTGAGGAGTGAAGTGTCGCTGGTTCGAATCCTCGTTGGGTGTCTTGAAATTTTTTTCTCCCGATTTATTTTTCTCTGTGCATTTATATATATATATATATATATATATATATATATATATATATATATATATATATATATATTAGAGAATGAAGGAGAATCATAATATGAGAATCATGGAAGGGTTAACGTGGTTGACGTCTTGAGCCTGCCTACTTTTCTGCACTAAAGAAAGAAGTGAGAAGGAAGAGGGAGCAGTCTATGAGATGGGACAATAAAGGTGGCATAGAGAACAAGGTGACAGTAGCTATGAATGGGCTTTTGATCTTGTCTGAAACATACATTCTGTGTGAATCGTGGCATGTCTTTTTCAGTGGTTTGGATTTCCAGCTACTGGAGGACAACAGCCAGAATATAGGCATCTGTGAATGAAAAATTTGCTTTGCTCAAAGTGATGTGACTTTGATACCCCTTCAATTTCATTGTGACTGTAGAATACTCTATTGAATTTAAGCATGAGATGCCATTATTTATAGTGCTTACATAGTTAGAACTGAGAGTTTACTATGTTTGTATTTGTAGGGTCAGTGTACAGCTTCCTCAGTAGCGGTACCTGACTTGCCTTTCCTTTTGCAGGGTATTTCGTTACTGCCTGCAGTTTCGTAGAGAGACTCCGCAGGAACTCGAAAAACGCAAGAGAAGAGCACGGGAGCCATACACTCCTCTGGATGAGGTAAAAGCAGGTTATGCAGATGTTTTACTCCCGACTCTTGGTCATTCAGTATTAATTTTATAAGCATTTTATCAAGCTATTTTCATTTCAATGCTATATACTTTCTGGATTCCTTGTATAGTGCCAGTTCCAACTTTTGTGCTGTGGCCCAAGTATCTTCATAAATCTTAAATACCATGAATTTTCATCCACACAGGGTACTAATATGGGGTACTTTTGGGACATAATACTGCTTGCAGACTGTTTGTTCAGGCTTGCTTTAAAATTGGGCACAGCATTGTGAACTAAAAACTTTATACAAATATGTCATCTACAATTTAAAGATGGGCCAGTGCTAAGCAGATGTGATGTTTTCATAGTCTATATTTCGAGAATAATTAAAAATTTCATTGTTGACCTCTAATTCCTTTTGGTCACATTGTTTGTGTTTGTTGTTCTCATCAATTTTTTTGCTTTCGTTTCACATCTCTCATGTGCCGGTTGAGTATCTTGTCCACTTCCAAATTTAGCAATTAGAAGCCTTTTGTTCTTACATTATATTTGTTGTGTCTAAGCCTATTTTTCTTACAAACGCAATTCAATGAAAGCCAGCCAGTGCCAACTTAGTAAGTATCCTTGCTGCTTTTTGTGTGGTAGAATCAAGTCTCTGTTTCCTAGCACAGCCACCCATAGGTCTAATCATATGGCCATGTTTGCTCACATTAACAGTATCAATAATAAATATGTTTTTTTCGTGGAGAGGAAATATGTTGCTGCTATTCTATAGCCTCTGCCATTGCCAAAACCCTTGCTATTCTGTAACCTACACCATTGCCAAAACCCCACATAGCAGATTCAGTAGTTGTAAATGGAAACAAAATTTCGCTTTACTGGTCTGTGGTGGAGACAGCATATGTGCAGTTTTTGTATAATTTTTGCAAATACTCCATTGATGTGTACTTCAACAAGTGTGTAAGTGCTTATGTAAAGGGAAAGAAGACAAAAGTGCCGCCTGTAACTGTCTATCTTTACGATGACACCTCAACAGGTCAGCACAGGGGTGGGGTAATGGGAATAAAAACGATAGGTAAGGAAAAGGCAACAGACGGAAAAAAAAAGAAAAGTAGGACACATTCGCTCCGCTTCCCTCAGCGCTCGCCCGAACCACCGTGACAACACACAACCGTCCGGAAAAGCCGCTGAAAAGGCTGGGGAAAAATTTGCACCGAAGAAGAAGTTTGATGAGCCAAAATGGCACATTCTATAACGGGAGTGCGCAAAACACTCACCTGGGCATGTGGCCCAAGCATGAAAAAAAAAAAAGAAGGGGAATTCAGGTGAGTTCACAGGTGGGTATCCAGATGGCCTCAATGGGGTAATCCAGTCTAAATCCGCAGCACGATGGCTTCATGCGCAGCGAGCGCCGCGGCACACAATCCACGCACCGGAGAGTCAACCGGCAGGAGCACAAGCACTGCACGAATATCCGCCGTAAATACGGCAATCACCGTGTCCAGCAGGTCAACCTCGCAGGCCGGCAGATCCGAAGGAGGGGGTGAGGGAATCGTCGTGCCCGAAGAGGCAGGAGGCGCACTCGTAGCAGGGCAAGGGGTGGTTGCCGACAACGATCAGTCACCATTGGCGACAGTGTCGCAAAAGTAGCGAAAATTCATGACCACCACGCTGCCACGCTTGTCGATATTGTTGACAGCAGTCCTGGCTTTCTTCAGCGCTTGGTGGTGCGTCACGGGGCCACCTGAAGAGGCGAGGATGACGGCGGCCTTGTTCTGAATCTGCCAGGAAGGGCAGCGCTGCTCGTTCGCTGGATTTTCGCCAGTGCACTTAATAGAGCGAGGGTGTTCTGAAGGGCACAGTTCATTTGGGTGGCTGCTGCCGTATCAGAGGCAGGGCTCGCCCCGCGAGCAAGTGTTTGTGGCGTGGCCAAAACGGCTGCAACGGGCACACTGAAAGGGCCGTGGCAGGCGCTGGTGGAATGGCCTGCACAGCTTGAAAAGGAACACCTCCTCTGGCACGGCAGGTCCCTCAAAGGTGATAGTGAGGCACCTGCCATGGCACACACAAGAAAGGACTGGGACGGTTGAGGTAATGTTAGCCGCGATGTCAGCGGCGTCCAAGTCAACCCCGTAGACTAACCCCACACAGGTGTTATCTGTGAGGAGCTGGGACTGGGCGTTGAGGGGGAGTATTCTTCGAGGAGTTCTGAAGAGTCTGCAGATAGTTACAACATTCAACATTCATTAGTCTGCAGATAGATACATTCAAAGCGCATAAGAAAATTGAGTATCAATTAAAGATAAACCTTTGTTGCTATATGAGGCTAAAATCTTCTGGGTCTAGTTGAACGTCTCCCAATATAGCAACACTGGTCGTTAGAGCACAATTTGCATGTATTAATACTGTGATGCAATACCACTTCTAAAGTTAGTTATTTCTGTAGCATTGTATCATTGTGATTGTTTTGGTTAGTGCTATGAGGGAATAGTTTCTGTTAGCAAGGATTCAGATTGTCAACATCTTTCCTTCGGTGTATTTATAACTTAGCTGTCGCGTAATAAACTTGAGCCCTACACCTAAACTCTATGTTTATTCGACTGGTTGTGCCTAACCTCTCTTGTTGCCACCCATCTGCAATCATCAGCAACATATTCACTAAGTGTCTAGACAGTTGATTCTCGCTGACTTCCTTCCAGAATATACACCTTTTGTATGGGTCATTTGATGTCCTGTCCAAGGGCCTGTCACTGAGGCACGCACTACCACTCTTCACTGGGCGCACTGACATATTACTGTTCAGCTATCGTGTCACTCGACATGCCCCGTAGTCACATGCAATCGTGTAGCCTGTTCACACACAAGCACAATCACCAGTACGCAGCCGAGGCATTTCGCTAACAGGCCCATGGTGCACAGATCGCTGTAATAGCAGGTATGGCCACTTTTCTCGGACCAGTCGCTGCGCTGAGAGACGCTCATCATAGCGCATGTTGCAGAAAAGGTCCTCTCTTGTAAATGCCTGGCAGTTGGAAGAGGTAGTTTGTTGGAGAAAGCATACATCGTGTCGCCCGGGCAAGCAGTCTAATCGTGTCAACGGTTACTATATATCAGGACTACTGTCAAGGTACACAAGAAGTCTGCTGTTGACGACTGCTTGAACTCTGCATATCGTAGTGACGAGTCCCTCGGCCTTGAGGCTGTTGCTTCCAAATGACCATCTCAATGCAGTTTTTGTAGATTGGATGACGGTCTGACCAGCCTCCCTACCAAGGAATTCTGTCGCCCACAAACTTCCAGTTGTTGATTGGCTGACATCGGAAGACAGAGCATTTGCATAACCACATTGTCGAGCTTTGAACTCTTCAGCTGAAGATCCTTCTGGCAGAGATGACTTTGTGCGTGCGGTGAAGCATGAAACACAGCACGAAGCCTTGTTATGCAACCTCGGCGAATGACTGCGTGAGAAGGAGCATGAGATAAATTCTTCCTTGGCTGTAGTTGTTCTTCAACTCAAGCTGTGTGCTTCTCGCTGACTTACGCTCTAACGGACTAGTCATTCTGCGTCAGTAGTTCGGATTCTTCCGTGAAACTGTTTAATTGAGCTTGCGCATAGTGCACAGCTGACCTTCGATTGACACTGCATGAAGGTATCTCTGTAACGTGCTCATTCAATGGTACATGGGTCCATCCACAAAAGTTCATTGTGCTCTCATCAAATGCCTCAAGTTCTGGCAGAGCCTTGTTCTTTCTCTTGACAGATGACTGGATTCCTATGACGTCGAGACGCCGCATCGCAGAGGCGTCACAGTGAGGAAGAGAAGTCGAGCTGCAATTTTAGCAAGTGCGAACATTGTTGTAGACGTCCCACTGGTACTAGCGGGGGTTGGACTTCTTCGTGTAGCAAACATGAGAAACTCTGCACTGTTTGTCCTGGCCTGCCTTCCTCCCTGATATCAATTAGGATGTGCAAGAAACTAAGCATCTCTGCTACCTGGCGAGCTTTAGGGGTCGCGATGATGGACATATCTGTTGACGCTTCCTCCATCTTTTGGCGGTAGAATGTCGCAAGATCGTCTGGCAGGCACTTCATTAGCACATGGTTAAAGACGTCGTACTGGTCAGGTGAGACGCCCAAGCCGGTCAGTGCAGATACTCGAAACTGGACCTGATCGTAGAGCAGCCGAAGGTTTTCAACATCGGCTGAAGACTTGACCGGTGCTGAGGGGGGAGATGATCAACGTGCTCGTTAATGAGCAAGTTGCGTCGACCAAATCACTCTCTCAGGGCCTTGATCACGATGCTGTAGTTCTTTTCTGTCAGTCGAATGCCTTCAATAGCTCTCTTCGCTGCACCGCTCAAATACGATTGCAGGTATATGAACTTCTTAATCTGCTAAAGGTCTTCGTCGAGGTGTATGGTAGCACTGAAGCGATCCCAGAAGGACTGCCAATCGTGAAGTGCGCCTGAAAACTTGGGGATCAGTAGTTCCAGGAGGGCCACTGTGCGATGACTTGCATGATTCCTTGACTAGGCGGTTCCTTCAGCTTGTTCCTTAGTGTATAGTGTTGAGGCAGTGCTATCACAACCTAAAACAGTGATGGTTGTGTCCATACAAATTTACGTAGCAAAAGAAAAAAGAACAAAGAAATTTCAAATGCACTAATTCAGCCCTTCTCGGCTAGGGGTCTCCCAGAACTGATCTAGAGGCAGGAGTGGAAAATTGATGAAGGGTGTTGGTAATGATAGATAACTTGGTAGCTTCTTTGGTGCAGAATTTGTGATGATACTCCTTGTCAATAAAACTTCTTGAACAATACATTTACTGCTGATGTTTTCTCTGGTATTTACTTGGAAGTTAAATCCACATCGCATTGAAAGGATTCTAATTTGTGTGTGTAAGTTTTTCTGTTGTCGTAGCAGCTGTGCTAATGTATTTTTTTGTGTGTTTGTTCGTAGTCAGCTTTGGAAGTGAGCCCAGAGCAGTTCTTTTTACCTGGTTCTGCATTGGATATGCCTAAGAGGCCACCATGGAATCGATCTATGAGTAAAGAAGCATTAGAAGCTAGAGAGGCCCAGTATTTTCGAGTGAGTATAACGATTTATTTCCTACAGATTGTTTAATTAATAAGAGTCTGAAATTAAAATATTTTGTGTGTTCTTTCTGTTCATACTTTATGCAGGAGTACTTGGACAAAATTGAGAACTCATTTGCTGATAGAGAGCTGAGTTATTTTGAACTCAACTTGGAGACATGGCGCCAGCTTTGGCGAGTCCTGGAGATGTCGGAAATAGTGCTTCTAGTTGCTGATATTCGACACCCTGTAAGGATGCTCCTAATTTTATCCTTTTACACTTGCTTACCTCTTTTACACAATTGCCTGTTCCTTGAGCTCATTTATCCTATAATATGTACAATGATGCAATCACATGCTGTGTAATCCAGCATTATCAAGGATGTTATTGGTCAAGGCGTGGCATTTTGTTATGCTAGTTTACTGCTTAATTTACATCGACTATCTGTACAATTGGACATTGGAAAAATACTTACAATGCTAGCAAGCACTTCTGTCAGTCGTGTTTCAAGTCTGCATGAATGATTGATATGCATGACTCTTGTGAGTGAGAGTTAAAAGACACATGAAAGAAAGTTTTTTCTCCAATTTTTATCATACAAGACATTTTACATGTTCTACAAAGTTTTTTCTCCAATTTTTATCATACAAGACATTTTACATGTTCTACCTGCTTACATTTGGTATATCAGGTGACAACTGAGATATCTCTTGTGATACTAGTGTTTCTACTCACCATTCTTCTAGTGCACTTGAAAGGGTCCTGAGACACTTTTTAGAATATTAAGAATACCTTGCTGATTTTAAATGAGGCTTCTGTGAGCTTGCGATCTTAGTAATACTTCATACAGCAAGAAATTTACTATATGATTTCATAAAAACAGCCAAAAATTACTTGCTCTCGTCACAATGCTGTCATCAACTATGCAGCAAAAGGGCCTAACAGGTGTTGTTTTCTTAATTGCAACAACATTTTCAGTAAAAGTATTACACCAGACTTGGTAATTCAAACTCTGATGGTGCCATGTGGGAAAGTGTCCTAAGACTGGGAAAGGGCTAGTGGTGCAGAACTACCCATAAATGCAGTATCGATAGTATCAGTAGCGAACAATTAATAGTACTACTATCAATAAAGAATCAATATTATCAACAGTACAAACAATAGAGTAAAATCTCGTTAATTCGGATTTCACGGGACCGGAAAAACTGTCCGAATTAACCGAAGGCCGAATTAACGAATGAACAGGGAAAACAACATTTAAAATCAAGCTGCAGAAGCATACCTTTATTTGTTGAAGTATTTTGTAATTGTCGTCTGCGTTTTCGCACAGATTCCGGCTGACATCACAATTTTTCTTGACTGTTCCAAATGGCCAACAGCACGCAAGCTGTCGGGAGTGTTCAGGCAAGCGTCCTCTAATATTAACAGCGCCTCCGAGACTTCCCGTGAGGTGCGATGAGGTCGCGGCTGTATCTCCTCGCATGATTTTTCGTCGGAATCGTGGTCTTCATGGGCGCCCGTGACATCATTAATAATCTCTTGATCGGTCAGGAGACCACTCGTGGCGACACCATGATCAATCGCGATGTAGTCCTGAAAGGTCACATCTGTGCGAAGGACAGCATCGAAAGTTGGGCAGTCATCGTCGAGGGACTCGGCTGACACCTCCTCGATGCCATCGTCAGCTACTGCTGCATGCTCGGGCCTCACAAAACCGCTGTGCTGAAAACAGTTGGCGATGACCTGCGGCGGAGTGTTTTTCCACACGTGGGCGAAGATGTGCACTGCGCCGAGTAAGTCCACTTGATACAACTTTCCAGCTTCTGAGCATAGTCATTCGCTCTAGCAGGTGCTTGCGGTACTTCGACTTCACGTAGTGAATGATACCCTGGTCCATTGGCTGAAGAGAAGACGTAGTGTTGGGTGGCAAAAAAACTACTTTGATGCTCTTCAGTTCGACTGTACAGTTATGGGCACTGCAGTTGTGAACAACCATAATTATCTTGCGGTCCTTCGACGTGAAGTGCCGGTCAACTGCTGCAGCAAGCCGCGAAAAATGTCCGATGTCATCCATGCCTTCCTGTTCGCTGTGTACTCGACAGGAAGGCTTTTGACGTTCTTAAAACAACGTGGCTTAAGCGCCTTCCCTACGACAAGTAGTGGCAAGCGCTCCGTGCCAGTCATATTGGCGACAAGAAGCACAGTTATCCTTTGCTTGCACTTCTTGCCACCAATGCACACGTCCCCTTTGAAAGTCACCGTCTTGTCGGGCAGAGCTCTGAAAAATAGAGCAGTTTCATCTGCATTGAACACGTCACGTGGTTCATATGCGGCGATGTGCTCCAGCAGCTTCACATTTCTCCACTCGGTGGTCACACTTTCGTCAACACTGGCCTTTTCGCCGCACACACTCCTGAAGACAAGTTCGTGTCTCTCTCGAAACCTCGCAAACCACCCTTCTGACGCTTTGAACGATTCAATGTTCATCATTGCAGCGTACTTCTCACCTTGCGCCATGATGAGAAGTCCGCTCAAAGGCAGATGCGCGTTGCGACAGTCAGTAATCGGCAAAGTCCCTTTGGCGTTGCATAAGTGGTTGCCAGACTGGAAGGGTGGTTGTTGCCAGACTGCCGCTAAATTTGGCAGAAAAGTTTTTTTCTGTAGTTGTGGCTTCTCCGTAAGAGTTTGGTGCTATCCGCGGTGCATTTCTTGGCTGAAAAAGAAAAGTAAGGAGGGAGGGGGCAGCGCATCACCTCCTGCGACTCTATTCAGTTTTCCCCGTCATCCCAATACTGAGACGCGATATCTTAATCGCACAGTTGTGCACTCAGCAAGAGAACGCGCCTAGACTTCTGCTAGGCTCGGTTCATTCCGTTAATTAAAACAAATTCTGTAATGCGCGGTTCATTTCGTTAATTAAAACGGCCTCTTAATTGCGCAGCAGCGCCGCGCTCGACTTCTGCTAGGCGCGGTTCATTCCGTAAATAAAACGAATTCTGTAATGCGCGGTTTATTCCATTAATTGAAACGAAATTAAAACGGCCTCTTAATTGCACGGCAGCACCACGCTCGACTTCTGCTAGGCTCGGTACATTCCGTTAATAAAAACAGCCAGCGTCGCTCATGCACTCGCGAAATGCACCGCGGATAGCACCAAACTCTTACGGAGAAGCCACAACTACAGGAAAAAAATTTCAGCCAAGAAATGCACTGCGGATAGCATCAAACTCTTACGGAGAAGCCACAACTACAGGAAAAAACTTTTCAGCCAAATTTAGCAGCAGTTTGGCAACAACCACCCCAAAGTCTGGCAACAGACTTATGCAACGCCAAAAGGAACCTTGCCCAGTAATCCACCGGAGCAAAGCTTCTTCGAACTGGGGATGAGCTGCGGTTTGAACCGCTTTCTAGAGGCATGAAACTTCTCGCTTTCAAAGGCTTGTCGAATCTGTTGTTCATTTTTCACGTACATTCCCAACGCGCTCCGCTTCACGTTGTACTTGGTAATAACCTGCTGTCGCCATTCGCCATTCTTCAGTGCTTCCAAAATTTCCACTTTAGTCGCCAAGTTCTTCGCGTCGTAGTTCTGCCGCTTTTTTGGCGTTGCCATCACTGTAGCCCACGATGGTGGTGGCATGCAAATACGGTCACAATGGAAGAAAAAGAGAACTCCACAAGAAGAGATGGTTCCAACACGACAACACAAGGGAAAATGGCGTCGGAGGTGCTGAGTGGAGAAGAAAGAAGACGCCGACGTTCGGTGACGCTGCGATCGCCCCCACTAATTGATGATGATGGCGATGCCTCTCAGGTTTCGGTTTCACTCCAGTGGTGCCAGCGCTTCTTTATCACACTTTTGTGTAGCAGCAGCCGTCAGCATTTGTCCGAATTAAGCGGTGCGGAGCCGAATTTCGACGAAATAACGAAGGTTTGGTCCCATAGAGTAACATGCACTTTGGCCGGGACCAGTAGAGCCGTCCGAATTATCCGAATTAATGGGTGTCGAATTAACGAGCTTTTACTGTATCGCTACGCCGTTCCAACACGGCGCTCTCCGTTTCGCACTCGACATCGCGTCGGGTTTGCTGAAAGACTCACTCGAATTTCAAGCGTGAATGGCTGCTCGAGTTGTCTGCTTGTCTGAAGACGACGAGAACGAATGTTGGCGCCTCAGAACGTGCTCCACGTGCTGTTACTTGCAAGCTTCGCTGTTTATTTCGCCTGCGCGTCCCTTCGAGGTGCTCTGAAAGAAGCTGACGTTGAGCCATAGTCTACTTTCGCGTTTTCACCGAGCCAGTGGCTTGCACGGGCACGCGTTCTGTGGCGTCTGCCTCTTCTTTATCGGTGGACGCAGCCTGTGCCGCGCTTGTGAACCAGGAGGACGCATCTCTCGTCACACTCTGCCTACGATGCACGCGTCTTTCGGCCGATGACACCGATGGCCAGCGGCGGCGTTGCCATGTGCTGCGGCCGCAGGAAATGAAGAAGCCGACTTACAGCCGCGGCCTGAAGACCTACTTTAGGCGACACTCTCTGGACATGCGAGCCCCTTGCACCGATGCCGACTCGCCCACTTCCATGCGACAGCTTTGCTGGCTGGTTCGAAACATCGGCGTATGGAATAGTTTCCTCGAGAACATCGGTCTGGAGCTGCGCGAGAACCGCCCGGGGCGCGTTTCCCTCTACACGTTCGTGCGTTGTGACCCAAGCATGAACGACTACGGCTCGGTGTGCGTGACGTTGCTTGCCGAGCTTCTCGCAATCCACCGTTGTATCTACTTCGTGCACTTCGGCTACGGGGGCAAGCTGTTCAGCATGAAGATGAGCGTGATCCAGCACCTGACGCCCAACTCTTCCATCGAGCAGTTCCACGTTGTTGGCCAGGCGATGGACAGCGACGAGATGTATACCGTTTTCAGGGCAATGTGGCGGGCCAGGCCGCTCAGCGTGCAAGTGTGCAACCTGCCGTTGTGCCGCTTTGATGTGCACTTAATCTCCGTCTATGTCGAGGTCACCTCGACTCTCCGCGAGCTGGCCCTAGTCGACACTGGCTTCAAGGTGGCCGACACCATCCTGCTCTTCAAGGCGCTCGAAAAGAGCAAGAGCGTCGAGTATCTACGGCTCGAAGTCAACACCTTTGGCATACGGGGTGCCAAGCAGTTCGCAGCCCTGCTGCGACGAAACACCACTCTCAGGTTGGTCACCCTACAGCGGGTCAAGCTGCAGACCAACGGAGCTGTGGCCATAGCGGCCACGCTAGCTGAGAACACCACGCTCGTTTCCCTTTGTATCGCCAGCAACTCCATCGGGCCCGTGGGCGCCCGGGCTCTCGCGGAAACTCAAAACGAACTTGTCACTCTCGGTGCTCGACCTGGGAGACAACGCCATCGGCACCAGTGGCACTGTGGCCTTTGCGACCACCTTGAAGGTGAACTCGAAACTTGAAGAGCTCCACGTTTGCGGGAATCTGATATCCAAGGAAGGCATCGTTGCCATCGCGGAGGCCGTCATGGACAACAAGTCGCTCAAGGTGCTGTCGCTGTTCGCCAACACATTCGGCGAAGAAGGTGTGGCCGCATTGGGCAGGCTCATCGCCTGCAACAGGACTCTGGTGAGGTTGAACGCGACCCTCGAGTCCAGCTACGGCACTCCGCGGAAGCACCTCGACGCATTCGCCGAAGCCCTCGCGGCCAACACTGCCATCCGCGGTGTTCGGCTGTTCGTGTGGGGCATGCCTGCCATGAAGCAGCTGTCGCACATGCTGCCGCTCACTCAGACTCTGCAGTATCTCTGCGTGTACACGTGTGGGCCCGAGATCGAGCAGTTGTGTGCCGCCCTAGCTCAGAACAAATCCATCCAGGAGGTCGAGATCAACTGCTACCTCAACCTGGACGATGGCACGGCGCTGGCTCACCTGTTCGAGACTACCACGACGATCCAGGTGGTGACTATCACCACCAGGGTGAAGAACACCTGTCTCATCCGGCTTTTCAACGGCATCGCCAGGAACAGCAGCATCTGGTGGTTCAGCGTGCAAGGCGGCAGCCTGACGTCGACTGCTTGCACGGCCATCGCTGCCGCCTTGGAGAGTAACAACACGTTTGCGTGCATCACGTTGGGACGGGCCACGGCGGAGGATTCGTGCCTGAAATTAGTGAGTGCTGCTCTGGAGCGGAACTTCACGCTCCAGATGATGCGCATGAACTACTCGGCTACCAGTTTGCCAGCGTTGGAGATCAGGCAGCGACTCCGGCGTAACATGGGCATGATGATGCGGGCCATCGAGTTTGCGCTGACCAGGAATGTCAGTAAGGCCTTGGCGGAGGCCTTCGAGATGTACAAGGACACCTTTTTTTCTCCAGGAGCTTGCCAAGTCGAACGGCAACCAGGGTAGGCCTGCTGCCTCGGCGCTAATCAAGAAGGGGGAACGGTTTATTGAAGAAAACTACTTCCAAATAACGGGAGTCGTCAAGAGAGACATTGTGTGCGTCAGGAGGACGAGGAAGAAAAGGAATACCACCATGTTCGACAACCTGAACAACTACTGCTTGCGGGAATTGTTGTCCTACCTTCGGGTTTCTGACGTGCAGCGTTGAGCTGCGGTACAAGTTTCGGTGTTTTGTTTTGTTTTTTTTTTTTCGAAAGGGAAGGGGTGGGGGGTTGTTAAAGTTAACTTAGCCCTTTTTGTGTTTTGTTGTCTTGTTCTGCAAATGGACGACTGTTTTTCTTTTTTTTTTTGTGGTGCCTTTGTATAAAACATCTTCGAGTATTTACCACTCTATATTACAAGTCTGATCATTACAACGAGGCGTTACATTTACTGAATTTCGCCGTGGTACGAAGCTCTGTGTTGTTTGTGCCGTGGTACGAAGCTCTGCAATTCAACGGGTGTTGAATTAACGAGCTTTTACTGTAGTACCATCGAGAGTACTGATGCCGATAGTATAATGAATATTGCTGTAAATAATTTTGCTGTTGCTGGGCGGCAACGTTGCCAAATCATTTGAGATAGCCTACAATCAGCAGTACTCAGTTCACATAATTTATGAGCAATGTTTTGACTAAATAGATAAATTATTGCCCAATCAAAATGCTGGAATATCTCCATAAATAAATTCATACTCAAAAGTAACCACTTACACCTTACAATTAAAAACTTAGCTTTTATATTTCAATTTTGAAATATCAAAACGCAACATAAGTTTCAAGCCACGCAGTGCCACCAGCTGTAATGGCTTTCTTTCAGCTAAAGCTGAGAAGTTCAGCTTATCATGTGTCAGCCAATCATTCTGCTGAAGGAGCGCAAGCATGACAACTTTCTTGCCCATCAGTCTGCTTCTCCTGCTCCACCATATAATACTGCACACTCGTAGAATCAGGTTGATCCTGCAATGAGTTCATGCAGTTGATACTATTCATAGTACTATGAAAGTTACTGTCGATAACGCTATCGATAGTTTTTATCGATAGTTTCTTTTACCATCAATAGTTTGATAGTGGCTCAACTATCAATAGCTATCGATAATATCTATAGTACCATCGAGAGTTCTGCATCACTAGAAGAGGCTCTATGTTGTCATGAAACACAGAACATTTTGTCTCTTATTTACACTTGCATGCATGCGTTGTATAACGAGTACCAGCCTGATTGCTTATGTATAGATTGCTTATACATTGCTGCTAATCATGCAGAGCTGTTTATCATGTTGCTGTGGCACTGGGAAACAATAAACATCATAAAAATAGTTATGTTCTCCCAGAGTCCTACTTATAAGAACTTCTGATAATGCTTACAATATCCTGAGGTCTCCTCTGGTTTGAATTATCAAGAGTCTACAGTATTGCTAATTTTAGTTAAATAAATGAGAAGAGTACATATCTGCAATATCAAAAAAAGACCAAAAAGGTGTTTCATTTTTTATTGTCCAATCTTTATTAATGACACTTTATTGACGCTTTAATGTGGCAGTACCCAATGTATTGTATGCATGTTGTGTCAGCCACTTCTCATGGTACTGAGCTCACAGCTGCAGTACTCAAAGGTCGAACTGGGTCATGAGAGTGAACATGCAGTCTAGTTTTCTTATACACATAACAAATGCTATGTGCTTTGTGTGCAAGCTGTCACATAGTGTAGAGAACATGACTACCATAGGGTTATGTCAAGGTGCTGCAATGAGGCCTCTCGCTACTCTTCTGATGGCCGACAATTGCACGATTTTATTCATGACGTAACTATCAGTGTACAATGCAGTCAAAGTAACCCAGATTGTCTGGATGTTCCTTGAGTGTACTGTGTATACCTGTATAATGAGTAGCATCAAACTTATTCAGGGAAAAAAGTAGTAAAAATGCCAAAGGCAATCATGGACAGTGTCGTAACTCATGGTTAAGAACCGCACAAGAACAGACGAGACCAAATGAACAAAGAACTAAGACGAGCACTGGTCTTAGTGTTTTCTTCATTTGTTGTCTTGTGTTCTTGCGCAGTTCTTAACCTGAACCCATACCACCTCGCCCAACTATCAGTGCTACTGAAGTGACGTGATTACCGAGTGGGATATTCCCCTCTTGCCATATCTTCTGCCCCATGTAGTTTTCACTGTGATCATGAGACATAAGAGAGAAGGCCTTTTTGAGGGTGTTATAGATCATGGTGCAATTAGTAATATTAAAATAGTTAATAATGGCAGGAAATTCATGAGATCAATGTAGCTTTTGGAGCCCAAAATGATGAGGACACAGGGAAGTGTCGGACACACAGGTGCACATTTTCTACATTTATTTTCTGAATGAATCTTGGTAATGCTACGTTACTGAGATTCACGAGTCAAACCAGTTCGGTATTACTTTGAAAGGTGTTTCAGAGCCCAGTTAATTGTAATAAAAGTAAGTGAAATCAGGCTTGAATATTTAGTGCTAGCAAGAACTGTACTTTGTGTTTCATACAATACTGGGCTTTTGTGGAAAATTAAAACCTTTGCATAGGCACCTCATTTTGCTGCTCGCAGGTGGTGCACTTCCCACCAGCCCTCTACATCCATGTAACTCAAGAACTTGGAAAACGACTTGTGCTGATTCTTAACAAAGTGGATCTGGTGCCGGATACCCTTACGGCTGCTTGGATAAAATTTTTTCAAGGGCGTTACCCTGGCTTAGTGGTGCTGCCTTTTGCATCTTATGCAGGCATGACAGCGAAGGGGAAGCGAGGTCAGTTCGTCTTATTCACTTCTGTAACGGTTTTAATTTACACATCTATAAAAATAAGTATGTGTTGATAGAGCATCATGATAATATCAGTATGTCCATTATAGTAATATAATAGCCTTGGACATTGCGCAGGAAAGCGCCAAGGCAGGCTACGCATGGCCTCTGAAGCCTGTCGAGGGCTTCTTGATGCCTGCAAAGACATGGTTGGAGATCAAGGTATGTAAGTGTTCCAGTTTTTGATGATAGCTGTGAAGGGTCATGATGAGGTTCGAATAATCGCAGCATGAGAAAAAAAAAAAAAATTGTCTGAAGCAGTATTTGTTTAAATGATGCATACATATCAGCTAAGCTTGTTTCTGCACCTCTGTGTGGGTCTTCGGATTTAGATTAGTTGATATCTTAAACCGTTCAAAAATCAAGCAAACAATTATAGTTGTTTACGTGGCAATTTTCTGCTATTTAAAAAAGAAAACAAAACTAAGTGTAAACATGAGTGCAGTGGCCATTACAAGATATAAATGGTCTAATGCAGGGATTCTCAATGCCGTATTTATTGCAATTGTTAATTAATTACATTAAAATATCAAGCCGATGAAACAAGTCATAACTGCAGAATTTATTAGTGCAGCACATGTAAGAAATGAACCACAACACACACAAATATATAGAAATAAACTTTGCCACATACACGAAAACGTATATAGATGGTTTTCAGCAGTGGTGCATGGGCGCTGTCATGTTTGATCACGTGATCGTAACTGACCTTCCACCAGTCAGTTTTCCCAGCCAACGCATTAGGCCAGCGGCCATGGCCATACCACGTAACACAAGCTGAAAGCCAGCATGGCAGCACCCATGCAAACGCGACCGCACGCTTTGATCTGAACTCGCGCTTGCTATTTGTCCACTTTATTTCGGCAATTGCTTGATGTCATCTCATGATGGGGACAAAGCATAAGGTAGGTTCTGTATTTATTATTGAGATTAGCTTTGTTTATTTAGCTATGCCTGCTAAGCCTTGTCTCTAAGAATTTGAGAATGAATCTTGAAAACACTGCAAGATATCAACGAATACACTGTTCGTGAAGGTTGAGGACGTAAATATCGTAAATATAAAGCAAACAAATGCACAGCTTGCAAACTTATTGGCCACGCAGAGCAGGACGGTGACGGGATAAGTTCGAGGTAAAAGGAAATTGCATCCGCAGGTGCTTCCATGTTTACATTTTTTGGCACTGTCGTTCGCTCGTTTTTAATTGCATGCGCGCGGACGCTAGGGGGAAACCGAGAAGACGACGCGGCGTGGATGGACACATATTGAGCAGCGTTTACCACAGACCACTGCCAGGGGACGGCCACGTTGGGGTGGCATCATTTAGTTCGGGTTGAGCAAACGAGCTTCGGAAAATCGTCTATAGGTGCTAATCTGTTTAGCACCTCTACTGCTCTTCATCTCTCTCTTCATGTGTGTTGGTGTTCTTTTTTTATATGTGTTGAGCTAATGCACGCTACGTTTACAAAACATCAACTCACCCAAACAGCAACCTTTTTTAAAACGTCGTCTCAATTCCACTTGTTTCATTTTATCTGAAATCGCCCAGCAGTCTTCAGCAAAGGGTTTTTAAACCAAACATAGGAGATTTAGTGGAAGTCAACAAGATGATTGATTTTAATGTGGTGACCTGGCCAAGTGAGATGTGAAATCTTTAGTTTACTTCTTTTGCAGTGGACTTGACCTCTTGGAAGAACAAGATTGAGGAAGAACTCACTGAGGAGGCAGCAGATGATGATGATGAGGAAGAGCATAATGCACTAGCTTCTGCCCCCACAGAACTTGTAGCTCCTGACACCAGCTTTTATGAAGAGGAGAGATTTAAAGGGGGACGTCTCACACTTGGCTTTGTTGGTCTGTCTTTGTTGTTCTGCCAGTCTCTGATATGTATACCTCTGATTCCTTTTACTTGTGTTGTCCCTTTCATCCTTGAAATGACTGCTACCATAAGGTTGCTATTTTCACTATGATCTGCTTGGTACGCATGCTGTAAATTATGTATATTATCAATAGATGGTATCTAAAGCTTCGTGCTCCTGTGACATTGGGTACATCCACAATTTCATGTTTGGCAGTGACAGAATTTTCAGCTAGTGCCATCATAAGAAGAGGCTGGGGAGGGGCTGAGCAGCTGCCGTCGCTGCAGCTTTTGGGCCGAGAAAATGCGGTCATTTCTGTCAACATTCAGCAACAAATGGTCAGCCTAATGTGCTGTTCCACCACAAATCATTGAGAACACAAGATATTACAATATAGCGTGCTCAAAACTCGTCTGGACGACAGCTGCAAAAGGTGCACTGCTTTGCAATGCGAGTTTTGCGCTGAGTGTTGGTCTGTAGTAACGTGTGCGTCTAAACTGAGGTAGGCATTCAAGAAACTTGTTTTTTGCTGGGAAGATATGACTGTTCAACTTTTAAAGTAAGAATTTCGTGCAAAGCATGGCCATATGAGCAGTATGCCGCGAAACAGAGAAAAAGCTGATCGTATGTTTCAACGGAATGCAGCGAGAGAACTATAGTTGTTGCCTGTAATGTATTGTGGATATAGCCTATCACACGGATAAACAGTAGAACCTTGTTTGTATGTTCCTGAAAAAAAAAATTAAAATAAAGAAAGAAACATGAAAAAGAGGACTACTGTCGATCCCGCATACACCAAACTCGGATATATCAAATTATGGACTATATCGAATTGTTGAAAAATCCCCTAGAATTTCTCATGCAAAATTATGCGACGGCTGCATCTGTATTTAGAACTCCCGCACAGCAGGACATCTGCTATATCGAATGCTGTGTGACATTGAGGCACAGAAAATGCGTTTTTACCAAGAAATATTGGTCAATTTTCAGCCACATTCAAACAAGTTTTGAGCCCTTTTCGCGCTCAGGTGACGAAAAGGCGGTGTCATTACATCGCGCTGACCTGGTTCATGAGCGGCGCTTGCGAGTGCACTGGTATGTTTGATGTGCAATCTGCGGGCCTCGTCGTGCAGACATAGTGTTTTTAAAAAAAACCGATTGCCGAGGACATCAAAATGAGAATGCGAAGTAACTCGGCGGTCTCGTTGCAATGTTCGCATTCCCTTGTTTGTTAGTGCTCAATGGCATGCGAGTCTGAAAAGCATGCCCTTTGAGATGTGAAACATTGATATCTATTTTCAGTGTTTTCAATTTTAAAGCGCATGTCTCGGAGGCTACGCTAGCTTTTCGCATCAAACCAGGTGAAACCAGTGGCTGCCAGCTACAAAGCCACAATGACGATGAAGCTCTTTTTGACTGCATCGATGCTGAGATCATGGCTTTCGTTGCTGGTGCCGCGGAAGTGTATCCATGCGGTTACGAACATGCCAACACCTTCGTTGCCATTGCTGACCAACCTTTTGCCGTGCTTCGAAGCTTGCATCGGTGTTCTGTGTCAATCAAGGCTGCTGTGGCTGAAGGAGCTGAGTTCGCTTAGTTGAAAAGCTTCAGTGATATTAAGGATGACTGTAACTTGACAGCGTGCAAGAAGCATGACAAGTTTACGGACTATTTCATGCGAAATAAGTACGGTAACTTGCAGTTCACACCTTGTTCTTTATTATACTGTGAGCAAATCGTTATGGTAGCACTAGTAACGATTTGTGAGGCCTGAAATGCCTTAATTTAGGCTTTAAATATGCATATTTTCTGTTTTGAACTATCGATATATCGAACTATTTGGGATCCCCTTTGATTTCGATATATCCGGGATCGACTGTACTCAGAAAACCCTACGATGTAAATTGACTAAAAGTTAGTGCAGTATTGCTTTATAACAATATAGTGAACGTTGGTGCTTGGAAATTGTACGAAATGGTAACAATCACTCAGGTTCTACTACATAGTATTATCACTATTACCGTGAACATTTCAGTTACAAGCACAAATTTTTTTCACTTATTTAGGAATTCATAAGCAGTTCAAACAAATGCAAAGAATAAGTGGTCCAATTGTATATTTGACACGGTATGCCGTTTTTTTGCAAGATTCTACTGCGTCTTCTTTATTTATTTATTTATTTTTATTTGATTATTTATTGGTTTAAGTTTGTCATGTGAGCCTCTGATCTGATGTAACACAGTTGACGGACTTCCTGCACGCCTCGTGCACTAAGTTCTGGTGTCACTTAGATCAGGACCTGAATTTCGAAAATCATCTCAATTTATGTGTGTGTTTAGCAATTGAAAAAAAAAAAAAATGGGCGGCCATAAGTTGTCATGTCCTACAACTCTTCTATGTAAACAGTGGCCCTCAACTTAATAATTTATTTTTATTGCTCATTTGACTAACTTTAGGTGCGGCAAAGTTTTACTGCCTAGGCATAGAGTTTGTTTGCCTTCGAAGATAACAGGGGCCTGACTGTCATATCATTTTTACAAATAAATACCTTGTTTACTCGCATAATTTGTGCCATCCCATAATTTGCACACCCCTAATATTTTTTTTGTCAGCTTTAGGAAAAAACATGTATATTTACTCGCATATTTTGCGCTTCTCTACCCGCCCGAGCCAGCTCGCTGACGCAAGAAACCGTGGACCATTGGATTTTTTGGACGAGCGCCCAGGCAGGCGCCTGGCCAATCAGGCGAGCGCAGTCAAACGGTCTGCAAGTGCGAAGTCACTTCTTTTGAAGACTTCTACCTAACTAGGGTCCCTAAAATATCATGCACGAACACTCATACCTATTGACGGGCCGCCGGAACTGCTCGAGCGTTTGTCCCTCTCTATCTCTCCATTGGTAACCGCATGAATGCACAGGCACGTCATGGCATGGACATCTTTTGACTCCGGAGGCGTGCGAGGGCCTGTTTAGTCGCGCCAACTGTTCCCCTCGTTCTCTGCTACCGCGCTGCAATGCATGCTTGGTTGATTTCAGAAGTTTAGGTTTCGCCATCCATCCTTGGAGTTTTTATTGTTCTCTTGCAATGGGCTACAGTATTCATATATATATATATATATATATATATATATATATATATATATATATATATATATATATATATATATATATGGCAAAATTCAAGCTTTGACGAAGAAAACCGGAATTGTGCCATCGCCAAGCACTTCAGCAGGAAGTTCTCTAACGTGTGACAAGACAATCGGCGCGATCGGTGTGGAAGGCAGATCAGTGTGTGCTAGCTGATGCAAGTTTTCCGTCGTTGAAGAAAGACTTTTCCATTATATGCGAACGCTTAGGTCCTCAGGTATCGCCGTGTTATGGGACCTAGTTTCTCCCAGCATTGTCGCGACATTCGAACGCATTGGACAGAATCGAGGGTGATGCGCTTTGGGAGGGCGGTCTCAATCGAACCTCTCCATTAGCGATTCCGACTAAACTGTGTGTGATTGGATCTGACTGGTTAAAGAAGCGCTAATTCTGTTGAATAAACAAGTGCACTTAAATTGTGCTGCAATTCATTTTATTATTTTTTATGTATATACTTTGCACATTAGAACAATTGCTCATTATTTCGTATGCATTCGTGAGATCCCAGCAAATTTGCGCACCCTCTTCTCGGAACCCCCAGAATCGCGAAAAACAGTGTGCAAATTATGTGAGTGAACGAGACTTGCAATGTGGGCTTGTTCGTGATGCATTTGAAAGAATTTTTGTAGCACGAGGTGAAATATGGAAACAGAAAAGGTCCTCTCAGTCTATCTTTTCCTGTTTCCGTATTTCACCTCACCTTACAAAAATTCTTTCATATGCAAGGGAATACGGTATGTATTGTAAAAAAAGAAAACTCTGTATGGTTGTGTACGATTCTCTCTCGCTCTCCCTTTTTTTTTGTCGTGTTTCTGTTAGTCACTTCAGCTGTTCTAGAAAACAGGAAGCTGCATGTGCTTCACAGTAGTAGGAGCTGTTGTGTCATGTGCTTGAGTTCAGCCTTAGGAGTAGCGTTATCGTGTCTTTTAACCTCCATGGCTGATCTCTCCATGGGGTTTTACTTCTTCACAGGGCAGCCCAATGTGGGAAAGTCATCCTTGCTGAATGCCCTCGTTGGACGTAAAGTTGTGAGCGTTTCACGCACTCCTGGACACACTAAGCACTTCCAAACCATTTTTTTGACAGACAATGTGCGACTGTGTGACTGTCCAGGTCTAGTGTTTCCAAGTCTGCAACCCAAGGCACTGCAGGTTAGCACCAATTTCTTCATGATGAATTTAATTTTTTTCGTAAAGCAACCTTGCAGGATATAATGCACCCATCAGGCTGGTGCTCCAAAGTTATAGAAGTAAAATATGAATGAAACAACACTCCATATATCAGACATGTAAATGTGCGAAAAAATAAACTTCAGTTATAATTTCTATACTATTTCAGTACCCTTAAAATTTTTTAAAACTTTATCATGCGGTAGTATGAGTTCATCACAGTATAGAAGGAATGGTGCAGTGGAATTCTGTGTTTGGAACGGTTTTGAAGTGTATAACATGCCGCAAGTTGTTAAAGGGCCACTCACCAGGCCCCATAAAGACCATGGAAATCGTGTCTCCAATGAGGAGCATTGTGCCACCAAAATTTTTTTAATCGGTTCATTACGAGCTGAGAAAACTATTTTTTTTTTGAAGCGGCGCGAAATGAGAATGAGAGGAGACCAGCTCGAAACCCTTGCCACCACTTCCCCGTGTAGCCTTCGCTGGCCAAATCTCTTCACCCTCTCCGGCATCCAACCAAGAGGTCACGTGCGCAAAATGTGCTAGAACAAGCCCAATTCCCGACCACGCGAGCGGCATTGTTTTGTTGACCAGCATCTCTTTTGTGGTCGAATGCCTGTTTTTGTGGGATGGTTTGGAAATGCTGACGTAGAGGCGGCATAATTGATGAACACAATGTGTGCGCGAACACTTTGGAGCGTTACTTTCGCTTCCACGGCTGTCGTCTGCTCGATGCATTGACCGCAAGGACACGAGTGCATGCGAAACGCCGGTACATTAGCCCCGCATCTCGTTGCAAGTCACGGGAAAAAAAAATGGAAAAAAAGATGCCCACATTCGCTTATTGTGTCTCATTATTTATCCCAAGTTTTATTAATATCTTCAAGTGACAAATTACATAAACTACACATGTTGTGTTAAATAATTTTCGCCATGTCATGTGCCACTGTTCGCAACGTCAGAGCAGCCATCTACGTAGAGGACCTGCGCTGCCGTGTACGTAGGGCAATTCATTCGTGCACGTCATGCCCCCATTCTCTGGGCACGCGCCTGTAAAAGAAGGGGGAGCAGCGTTCATATTGAAATTTTGCCCATTTCTGCGGGGCGTAATGTTGCAAATTTTGGCCGATGTGATCATGAGCCTCCAATCTACGCAATGCGCTTGTCAGCTCAAAATTGTCATACCTGGTGAGTGGCCCTTTGAAATTGAAGGCGTATTGATAATATTGCCACAGACCTGGCATATTGGCAGCCGCTACTTATTAGGACCCGGGGATTATTTTTTGTACTTTTTTCTTAAACAACGTAGAATATTGTGGTAAAATTTCTTTCTGTGGCAACATCTGTGTGATTAATTTAGAACAGGTTTAAAGGAACACCAAAGTCAAATAATGATTTACGTGAGAGTAAAAGCTCAATGTACGACAACATCTAAAACGATAATATTATCAACAGCAGTGCCCTACTTATAGAGAAATTAAGGTAAATGTACAACAACACATCTGCCACAGTAGGACAATCACAAAATGATCCCATTGTCGCCATAGTTAAAGCCTACAACTAATCACTTGTAATCGAACTAGCTGCACTAAATAAAAGACCTTTGTGCATCGAGATACCTAATAAAATGCTGCTTGTTCATTTCTGTTTGATTCATGGAAAAAAGAACCGCCGGACGTTACTAAGGGGAAAGGCGAGAGTGGTTCGAAAGTTCCATTTTCGCCTGGTTAAACTAGACAGGTCGTGCCATATAGCGAGGCCTAGTTGAACCAAGTACATTTGCCATCTCGGAACCAACGGCAGGAAATCGTTCAATGGCCTTTGTTGCTGCTGTGGCTCCCGCTGCTTTAGTTCTGGTGCAGTAAAGCCGGGCAACGTTGTAAACAGGGACGTGAGACATTCTGCTTTAGGCGGGTAATTTGAAGTGCGCTAACTTAATGCAGACCACTAAAATGTAATTTTATTTCAAAATAAGCACTGCCTTGGCACAGAAGTAACACAATGAGGTTTCTGGATCGCTATTTCAACAATCAACATCAACCTAATAGTTGCCTTTAGTGTCCCTTTAAGTAAGTACAGGTTTGCTTTTTTTTTGGTCCTACAGATTTTGCCAGTAGTGTTCTATAACCTATTTTAGGGCATTTTTGTAGTCCTGTCTAGCTAAAAGAATGTAGAATGTTGCAAGTTCTTTGGTATCTGTATCCAGAGAGTCCAGCCTGTTATTTCCAGCCATTCCTGTATGCCTAGAGATCTAGCAAGAGACAATTTATCTTTCTGCTCTGATGGATTCATGGCTTCAAGCACAGGCTCAAAAAAGTATTGCAGCAAATTCCCTATTTTGGAGCAGCTTTTCATTCATGGAAAGAGTGCAGGAGTTGTAGAGTTTGGTGTTGACTTGACTTACATGGGTCAAAACTCTACAAATTTTGAAGATAAAATATGCTTTCAAATATTTCAGTGGTGTGCAAATACTAGGCCTGTGCGAATAGTGAGTTTCATGTTCGAAGCAAATAGTGATTTTGATCAAATAATTTCAAATCAAGTTTGAATAGTATATATGACATATCAAGAAAAATGGCCATATTTATCATGGCCACCTGCACAATATTTTTTGTTTGTTTGTTGAAATAAAGCCTCTATGCAAATGCCTTTTTTTTTATTTTCATTCAAAGAAAGTCGAAACAACTTAGGATTCGACTTTCAGTAAAATGCAAGAGATAACCTGTACAATACGGGACATTCCAAAATTTATTATACTTATACACATAAGCTGGCATAACAAGCTTTTAAGCTGTAAAGAATAATGAATCGATTAGAGGGTAAAATGTTCATTTAAAGGTGCCCTGCAACAAGCGTTTTCAAGTGACCATAGATTGTATTCGCTAAAAAGCTTATTACCTCACGAATTCCTCACCGCGAAAATCTTTCGAAACCGTCCAGTACGAGTACGAGCAGAGTTGCTAAGATTTACCGCATGCTGCCATTGCATTCTCTTTTCTCGTCCTGATGAAAGTGCTTGAAGCAAAGCAGGGAGAGATGGCACGGTGAAAGCAAATATGTCACGCGCTCCTCGTTACCTTGAGCACTTTTTCTGTTTGTTTTTTTATTTGGAATATCTGGTTTTTCAGTGTGATCGCGCACGTACGTGTGAACAAGTCGCGGCCTTCCGCGGTGGCCCCAGTAACGACCAAGCGCGCCATGCTCAAATCAACCAATGGCTGATACAATGGCTGTGACGAGGGATTTTTGAGCTTGTGGCGTCATTTGCTGAGAGAAGAGAGCAATTTCTAGCCGACTGAGAATTCATTGTGAATTCCAGGACGCGTGCTGCGCTATAATATTTGGTTCGCATGTTCTCGGTAGCCTCAACTATTCATCGGCAGCGTTTTCTGACCATGCTCAAAGTATTGCAGGGCCCTTTTAAATTTCAACTCAAGCTTCACGGCAGAGCGAGTTTCCTTTAAAAAGGTGCTTTCATGGCTTAGCTGTCCTGCACTGCAGTGAAACCAACTTCACAGGCAGTTACATGCAGGTTAATATACATCTATTCGTTCGTTATGAATACTTCGCAATTTTCACAGACTTCAATTCGAATAAAAGCGAATTCGAATACTGTGCTATTGGTTCAAACATTCGAAGCATTCGAATATTCGCACAAGCCTAGCAAATACTCAAAATTTCGAATATGAATCTAATAGTCCGTGCAACTAGGTTTCAGAACTCGCTTTTGAAAGTATCTTTGAATATTTGCTACTTTAGAATAACAACACTTACAGTAGTCCCGGATGAGATACATTGATCCCAGTTATTATTCTACAGTTGCACCCAGACAGCAATCTCATTACATATGAATAGGGCATATAACATAGCTCAGTGTTTTCCTGCCACTGTATATTCAAGAATGAACTGATTTCAGGTGGGCTGACTACTACTATATGTACAAGTTTGTTCCATTTTGACCGTCGCACTGTATTTACGTTTCGTAGAGCACTCCCTTAGCAAACACAGCACATTGCATGCGCCTAGTTAGATTTTTTGTAATGTCACTATGTTTCCAAATGTAATTAAAATGAAGTGTTTATTATTTATGATCTCACTTATTTAGATGCTTAATTGCAAATAGTACTAAGCAATTATGCCTACATGTGTCATCATATATAGTATCACCAGAGTCCTTCAGTGGTTTACGGTACTATTTGCCATGGCACGTTGCCAGACTAGTTGGCTAAGATTCCTAATTTATGTGGCGTAGCACATCACGACAAGGACAGAGAAAGACACTCATAGTGCTGTGTGTGCATCTTTTTTCTCTGTCCATGTCTTGATTTGCTACACCATGTACTGTATTAACTCGCGTAAGGAACGCACTCGCATAATAAATGCACCCCCAACTTCAGTCGTCAAAATCTGGATTTTTTTATACCCGCGTAATCAACGCGGCCCCTAAATTAATCTGCTGCAGTCCCGCTAACAGACATCTGGCGCCTCCTTGATCTGTTTTATTTTTTTCAGTTCGCTCCCCCTTCCCTTTTGCCCTCTGCCGTGCGCCACACTGTTTTTTTTTTATCTGTGCACGGCACCTCCTTAGTCTTTTTTAATTATCAATGCACCACAGCGGGGCTATCGAACGATGCGAATCTAGACATCGCAGCTGATAAGCACACAGTGAGCGAAAGTCACGAAACTTTAAGGCCCAGCCACCTGCACGCAATTTTCGAGCGACGACGACAGGATTTGCTGTCGCCATGGTCGTCGCGAAGGATCATTTATCGCCATCACGTCGCAGGTTTTTGGAAAACCAGCGAAACATCCCTTGTCGCTCAGAAAAGATTGACTATTCCCGCAACGTGGCAGCACCCCCGATTCTCGCTTCAATTGCAATATGCTCTTCGTGCTTGTTAACCATGCGTACTTGAAGGAAGGCAAGATATAGGCTACCTTTTTTACAGAAACTTCTTATGTGGACAGTGAGGCGGTGA